CCAGATATCTGCGACGTTGAGTTATGGTTTTAGTGCTTTTTTTTCATAACATCTGCATTGTAATTGTTACCGCAACGCGTGGCTTTTTTTCTTATATATATCTTCTCCTTCCAGATTGTACATTTTGGGGGTTGGAATAGCATGTAATCTTTATGCTCGTCTAACCTCTCATTTTTTGCTTTGTGTAGATATGCTTCTAGTGAAAGTGTATCTTTTGGCGCCGATGTGCATTTTGATTCTGTGTATGTAGTTTTTGAATATTCTACGCCGCTGCCGGGCCCAGTCCCACAAGCCGTTTTTGGCTTTCGGCGGGCCCGCGTTTTTATGTACGAATATGAAATAAGTGCAATAAAAATTACTGAATGGTCGTTCCTGGGCACCTAATAAAAATTATTTATCATTATCATCTTCATCATTAGTATTATTAGCATTATGATTACTATTATCATTAATTTCATTATTATTATCAATATTTATATTCCCTACAAACAACTTGTTTCTAGGGACTCTTTCAAGCATGAATTGTAGGGTGCTGTCCGACAAGCCGATTCTGGCTTTGACAGGCCCGTGTATCTATCTACCTTGTTAAGTGCGTGTTCAAATAAATATTTATATTATTATTATCATTATAAATATTATTATTAATATTGTTAATATTGTTATTATTATTTTTATTTTTACATTTGAAGACTACGTATTCGACGACTAATCTTGTTGAGGGTGGAAAGCGTGGGCGTAGAGGCTAGAACTTCTGCGGTGGCTCGACTCGGCTATGTCAAACCGAGTCGAGATTACCAGAGAGGCCGGACGCATTGGATGACGTCGCGCCGATGGGAAAAGAAGGTATTAGAAAGGCCTGTCAGTCTGGGCGGTGTTGAATGAACCCAGGATCCCGAAGTTCTGCAGCGCGAACTTTCGCGCCATGTGCTCCGAGTTGGTGTGCGCTAGCCCACTCGGCCACCGGCCCCCCTTCACGTCCCCGTTTGGACAGTAATAAATATACATTTTAGCCGCTCGTCCGCGTTTCGCTCGTCAACACCAGGGCCGCCTCCTTCATCGGTAACCGCCGGTTTTATACAGCCAGTTCCCGGCATTCCTTTCGGCGCCATGGATGACACTGCAGAATTAGCAAACGTTGCAATGCCATGTTGCAAGTTAAGAAAAGCAAGATATTTTCCTCCCGCATACCCTCTAGCCTTTCCTATTTAGCTAAACAAATGACGAAAAGGAGGAGAGGTGAGACGAGGAGGCACTCGTCTTCTTCACTGCGCTTGCTCTGCTAGGAGGAAAGGGACTCTGTGTAAAAAGCCTGTCCTGCTTTTTTTTTTTAATTTACGATAAGCTGAAGAAAACAAAAGCAATGAAACATCTCTCAGTATACACATAATCTAGATAGATACTACTGCTTCTTCACACAAACACAGCACATACTAAGGCAGTTGTCATAACGTGCCACAGATTTTTGAAAGCCCTCCCCAAAAAAGGGTTGCTGACAGAGTTCTCAGTCATTCCATCAGGCGTCAGCGAGACCGTCACTCGTCACAGACATGTAATATGTATGTAACAAAACTGCAAAAAGCTTCGGGAAGGACGGACATACGTCGTTGATGAGGGTGGTCAGGAAAGAACGTGTGTGCCGACTGACGGTCTTGTTAAGCTCGTGATGAAATCACCGAGAGCCAAGTCGTAGTCGTCGACCTTTTTTGGGGAGAGCATTCAAAAGCTCGTGTCACGTCTTCCTAAATGTGTGATCACGTGGAGAAGTAGCTGGAGTATATATGTACATTACTTGTGTATTATATTCTTATCACTTGTTTTCTTTTATCTACTTTATCAAGAAAAGCAACAAAAAACAACAAAAAAAAACTCGTATATTGTAACAGAAGAGAGAGTAGAACGATGAGCGTTGGAACAACAATAGTTTCAAGATTTCGGAAATTGATATAACTTTTCACATTACAAAAAGAGACAATCTTAAAATAATCATTAGGCATAGGTGTTCTTCCGGCGCGCAGGCAAACCTTTGCCAGGCCTTATCAGGGCGCATATATTGAAATATGTGGCGGGGTTTCTCTACGGATAAGAAGAAGGCGTCCCTTGAATGGAGGTTCACTTTTTAATGGAAGCCGCTGACAGCCTCTGCCTACCCTGCACCGTCTCCTTATTGAGTGAAGGAGAATATACTTCGATCCTGCGAGAAAATCGGATGCAGAGTCCGCCGCGGCTCGGCTTTGAAGTTTCGCCAACCCCATAACAACATGTCCCTGCCGGCGCGAAAGGGGCTCCATCAGCGCGGAAAGGATTTTCCCGTTGAGCACGAGGGTTTAGGCAACGCCGTTCTCCGTGCTGCTTATATTTCTAGCGGCCTGGCTGTTTTAGTCCTGCCCCCTGGTCAAAATAAATGTAGTCCGCTTATAAAAAAGAAAGAAAAAAAAAACGAAAAAGGCGTAGTTGAAAGGGAGACCCTTAGGAAAATATAAAAGCCCGCTTCAGGTTGGTATTTTTGTACATGCATACACTTTAGTACGCGAGTCCAGATAAGCTTTTGTAAAGGAGGGTTTTCGCTGCTGCACCTCGGGCGTGCGAGGCAACAATAAACGAACACGTCCAAAGCTCTAACAGAAGCAGCAGTTCTAGTGACTCCATGCTACGTTTCACTTTACCACGAACCGCAGCAGCAGACGACGTTGTCCGCCACCGGCTTGGTTGAGACACCGGGAGATTGCTACGGGGCGAACCCTTCTCGATAGTTGATTGGTTCATTACGTTGAGTGACGTAATAGGCAAAACGGAATCGCGAGACACGATTGGCTCCGGTCTTTTGTGGACCTTCGCTTCGGTCCACCTCGATGCGAAACTGAGTGTGACCGTCTGGGCGCGCTCACGCATGCGCAGAAAGTGATTGCTTTGTCGCGAACGTGAACGAGCCACCACCGCTGCTTATCGGAGCGTCTCTAATCAAAGCTGGAAGAAAAGGAGGAAGAAGGAGGAGAAACAAAGAAGTGAAAAAGGGAGGCGCGGTCATTTGCATTTAGCGGGATCAGCAACGGGAGTTGGGGGAAGGAATCCAGCGGACGGGAAAGGACGACAACGAAAAATTGAAAACGGAAGGAAGGCGAGAAGAAGACCGAAGAGAAGGAGACGAAGAGAAGTCGTCCGTTTCGTGTTCGTCCGTCCGCTTTCGCGTCCAATGTTTCGAAAAGCTGCACATTGAGCAAAAAAGGGAAGAAGAAAACACTCGAGTTTTCCGACGCAATCGCTTTTTAGGGAAGCCTCGGTTGCAGCGGCCGGTACAGAAGGAGCGAGAACGAGAAAATTTCGCGGCTACGTTCGATATGAAGAAGAAATTGCGAAAAAGCGAAGCGGGCGGTAAGGCGTAACAAGAAACTTCGACGGATAACAAGAGGGCCGGATGAATGCGTTTTCCGGGCCTTGCTACGTGAAGAGTTTCACGCTTGTGCAGCCGGACTGGAAGATTTTCTATTTCGGCGACGTCGTGAGCAACGTTTTATGCGAACTCGGGAGAAAGTTCGATTTATTCCGAGCGGCTGCAGCTGCATTTTCTTTTTTACTTCAATCAAACGCGTTTAAGGCGTCTTCTTTTCTTGACACGCAACAATTTATTCTTGTCAGGTGGATCGCCTACACTCCGTCCGACAAATTTCGCAATGGTATAGCCTCTTCGCCCTTGGGGGCAGTGTAAAACGAGCGCCGAGGACGGGTCCCGATTTCTGCATCGTCTGATACATGAGAATATATTATTCATCTAACTAGAAATAGTTGTTCGATGTATCGCAAGCGGTTGGTTTCGACGAGTACGTATTTTAGGAACTTGTCGCTCCTGGGGCGCACTTGCGATAGCACTATTAATCGTGTTGTCGTGAAAACCGCCCACGCGAAGATCATGCTTGCGGCGCCGGCGCCCAGACTTCATGGGGCTAAGGGTTGAGCGAGAAAACCGCACTCGTTATTCTCGCAAAGAGATGCAGAAATCACACCAGCTCTGATCGAGTGAGTATGATCCATCTTGTAAAAGTCATGCCCTACCAGGCTATTACTGTCATGATCGATTTCTGAGAGGCTTTCGTTGTGCGATGGTGTTTCTGGGTGTCTCAAGACAAAACTTTTTGAAAAATAAATTTAACGATTGTACCTTCTCCGTTGTGACATGTCTACCCTAAGCCCGTACACGATTGATTGTCGGCACTTGCAAAACGCCGAGTACAGTGAGTTGCATCGAATGAATTTAATCTCGCACGGCTGGCGTTTTGTTCATTTCTCAATTTATTTCAGCCTGATTTTGTCTTAGGGCCAAAATGTATTTTTTTGGACGATGACGGTTTTTTATGGATATAAAACGTCATGCACCAATGATAGTCGTCAAGTTACATGCACAACTTGATTTAATTGCCTTTCTTTTAATTAGCGATGTCACACAACGCGTTACAAGAATTTGTTGTCAAATATTTAATTTAAGACTGCGAGCACGCTTCTCTTCTAAGTAGACTATAACGTGCTGAATCAGCGACCCAAGACGTAGACCTTCATGGCGTGGCCTTAAACCAGGTCTTTTGACGCAGAGAGCACGCAGTCACCCCACACGGTCATGCTGCGTCACACGCCACCGCCGACAACCGCGCTACCGTAACAAGTTAAACAAAAATGCCTCCACGCTACGGTTACAGCACTTAGCGACGTCCAGCACCACGACTTTAAAATATGCGTTCTCCGCTACTCCTACATTGTCCCGTTAGTTTGGCGGCTCTTGATTTTGTTCGAGGTGAGGCGTTGGCGGCGCAGCGGGAGCCCCGTCGGCAAGAGACGCATTGTCCGTACGCTATCTGGAGCGTAGAGTACGACACCGTTCGCTCTGCCTTGGCGGTCGCGCCTCGCGATGCGGTGAGGCCGCGCCCTGGACGACGTCGGGGCCACCTTCAGTGTAGTCTCGTTCACCGTCGACATCGCAGCTTAGGGCCAGCACGCAGCGTTCCTGGGACGCCATGCGTCCCCAGTTGTTGCCGTTCCTCGCCGCCGTCCTACTGAGCCTGTGCTGGACGAGCGCCGAGCACAAGGATGTCTTTCTCGAGACGGACAGATCCTACAAGTACGACCTTCCATCGCCGGGCAAGCCAGGTGCGAACAGCAACTGCACCGGAAAGTGCGTGCATGTTTTTATGGGACTTCTGTGCGACTTCGTCGACGACAACGCCGACTGCGGTGAACAGTTTCTGCGCTGCTGCGTTGGAGGCATCTTCAGCCGGGGGTTTACCAGAAAGTCCGGAACAAGCGTCGACATGATGGATGACAGTCCCACGGAACAACAGATACCTAACGACGTCACGACTCCGTCGCCCTCAAATGACGACCACCCTGTGGCGGATCCACCGCCACCTAAAGAACCCAAACCCACCCAACCTACTAGCCCAGAAAAAGAAAATGCTGACCAAGAACCGCTAACAGCGATGGAATCTCTGCAATCGCCTCAGATTGAGTCTCCTCTACCGGAGCCCGCTGAGTCCACCAGAGGTAATTCGTGCCCGGGCTCTTGCGTGATGCCCCTTTTGGGCCTGCTTTGTGGTACCATCAGCCGGAACCACAGCTGCAGCGAAGGGCGTGTCTGCTGTGCTACATCAACGGCACAGAGCGAAGACACAGTAGAAGCAACGACCGTTGATCCAGTTCTTGACTCGACTACTAGGACCCCTGTCACCCGAAGCGCGTGTCATGGGCGTTGCATTCCAATGTACCTCAGCAACACGTGCAAACGACCAAGTGTCATTCTGATATCAAAGAGTGTGTCGTGCTCTTCGGGCATGATTTGCTGCAGCAGAGGTCTAGAAGGTCACAGCAAGTACGGCACAAAAACTGAAGTAGAGCACATAGATCAGGAAGACTCAGGTGGTGCTAACCCCAGTTCAGAAACATCTACAGAGGCAAAAAAGCTAGCTCCACCACCTCGTGATGAGCAGCGTCCTCGACCGATTGCGATCCCTATCCACCGCTCCCGTCCCCAGGGTTACCCTAAACCGACAAGGCCTTTGCGAAAACCCTTTTCGAAACAGCCGTCAGTAAAACCACCAGACTATCATGAAAACAACTATAACTACTACGGCTCCACGAACGAGGAAGACGAATCGTCCCAGGAACACTCGCAAACAAGAAGACCACCGTACTATATTAAGATAAGGCATCCAAGTCTGGGTCCACCTGTTCTTCCCACGCCACCATACCACGATGCTGGCAGTCGTCCAGACGTTCCCTCCAAGTTTAGTGATAAGCAAGACATAGACAACAAATTCGGCCGGCCGCCCACCACAGAACTACGCAACCTGTCTGCCACTGTGACTGTGCCAAGGAGACCACCACAATCTTCTGGTCGCCGCCCTCCACCTCTCATTCAGGCAACAGCTGGATCAGCAGTTGGCGAAGTATTTCCTGTCCGCGTTCCGTTGCCGTCCTCCGACTACGACGAGGAACACAGGTCCTGGCTGCAGCGCGTTCATGAGCTGGCGAAGAAGCGAGCACCACCGAGGCCACAAGAACCAGGTTACTCTCAGCAGGGAGGAAACAAAAGGCGAAAACCAAATTGGCAGCACTCCATTAAACCCCACGAATCAGAATTCGGAAACCCGTGGAACATGCCGATTCCCAGCGATGGCAAAGATATCCATCATTTTTCAGCATCCACTTCAAACTCCGGTTGGATTCCTTTTCATCAGGCGTACCAGCCTGTCAACAAGCAGAAGGTTGCCGAGAATCACCACAACAATAGCTCTGAGTTCACGCCTATGAGAGGAGTCTTCCAGAACCCCAACCAAGAGCCGAGGGATCCGAACGTGTGCGGTGTCCGAGGTGTGAAAAACCGCACAAACCACCCCCAAAGTCAAGGCGGAACAGAAGCCAGGCCTGGAGAGTGGTGCTGGCACGCTGCCATCGTAAACCGGAAGAACCAGTACATATGCAACGGAGCTCTAATCAGCGCGCAGTGGGTTCTTACTGCAGCTGACTGCGTGCTCAACCATACGAATGCAACGGAAAACATCTACGTTCGACTGGGCTACACGGACATCATGAGTCCTTACAACCCGCCGGGCGCGCAGACGAAGACGGTCGCTAAAGCCTACGTTCATCACAGCTTCAATAAGGACACACTCGCCAATAACATCGCACTGCTCAAGCTCAAGGACATTGTGGAGCTCAACGGTGCCGTTTGCGTTGTATGCCTTCCTCACAAGCAAAAACTAGCTTTGGAGCAGCGTTCTGAAAATGAGGACTGCGTGGCCACCGGTTACGGTTCGAGCGCGAAAGAAGATGACCTCACCTACAACTATCCCAGGTTGAAAGAAGCATCGGTCGCGGTACTCAGGTACTCCGACGGATGTCCAACCACGGAGCCTAGGGCAAGACAGCTAGAGCTGGCAATGGACGTGACCGGGAGTTACTTCTGCGCTGGTCATGGAGACGTCGAGGAAGACTGTCGAGGAGATCCCGGACGGTTACTCGTGTGCCCCAATGGGGATTATTTCGAGATATCAGGAATCGCGTCGCAGGGTCTCAGCTGCGGAGGTCCCGACGCGCTCGCCCTTTACACCAATGTGTCATCTTACTCCGGCTGGATCAACCAAATTGCAAACGTTAATCGTTTCTGATTCTCGGATCGCAAATCAACTCTGTCAAAGAAAGTGCCTCGTCATTTCGCAGGAACGCAGAGCCACCCTCTGACGCAAGAGCTGTTGCTGAGAAGCCAATCTCATGTATCAACTGGGACACTGTAGTGGTTTATTTAAATGAAACTAGGCATAAAAGACAGGTGAGAAAATCCTTGCTTGAAGTTAAAACAGTTACGCCTCGTATTTATGAACCCGTTAATGTGGATACCCCGCTATATGAACAACGTTTTCAAGGGCAAACTGGAAAAAAATACACGATTTGTTTTCTGGTTATTATGGACAGCTCACACCACTGACGATTTTCGGGAAAAACCGAAAGTGTCCACGTTTTAGAGATATCACCGTACCTTTGTTTTGGCAGTACCCGGGCAGTGGAACAATTTGGCAGAGTTCAAAACCGAAGTGAATTTGAATATTTTGTTTTTATGTCACCGAGAACAGGGTCAACGTCAGAAACAAATGTTGTAGTTCGTTTCATGCACCCGTCATGTAAAATTCCGTACGGTTCGAAGCTGACATAGACGACCTTATTGTTGAGTGTGGTGTGATTGTACTCCGTTCTACGTTAAGTCCAAACACAGCCGACGCAGAGATCTCAGAAAAAATCGACCAGCGCGGCTCTCCTTAGCTCAAATAAATACCAATAGTTATATCAATATCAATATCAATTTCAATCAAAAGTCTACCGTCACAGCGCTTATCGTCTTTAAGCGTTTGCTGTCACCGACTGAACCATTCACGGACAATGAGTGCGCCAAAATCCCGCGCCTTTTCGCGCGAGATTGGATTAGCCAGTGATTTCAAAATGACGGACAACAATCGCTGTGACGGAGCACTTGGCGCTTCGTGTTGGCATATCGGATCGTCGCATCGGCTGAGGGCGGATTTAACGTGCAATGACTTATAGCTTTTTTACTCAGACCAGCACTTTTTGTCATACTTGTCGTCTTCAATCTCTTTTTCTTTTTTTTTTCTTTTTTTTTTTTTGTGCGTGTGGGATTACGTATTGCGCAGAGAAAAGTGGTTTTCGAAGGTCCTATATTTAATAAAATGGTCCCTATAGGGTAGGATTCATTTCACTAAGTGGCGCGCAAGTTCATCTGCTTCCTGCACGGGGTTTGCGATAATGTCAAAACACCGAGCTCTTATTGGCCGATTGAAAAAAAGATAGCGGGTAGGCATCGAGGCATCTAGCATCGAGGCCTATACCCACTATCCTTTTCAATCAAAGCCACGTCAGAGCTCGACGCCACTTTGACGTCACCGCAGCTCCTGCGCAAGAAGCGGAGGACCTGCTCTCCGCATAAGTCACTCGACAGTCATTATCCCACCATGCTCGCGAAATCTCGTATGCATACATTCAATGTTACATTCCAGTGAACGTTATTGCAATTTAGGCAGTTCAGAAAGGCCCTGTGCAAAAAAACGAAATCGTTGTATCATTGAAACTTTACACTTTCGTTTTGTTATTACTGTCTGTACACGAAAAAAAAAAAAAAGCTTTAGAGAAACGTTCTGTTCCCCGTTGGTTCTTACTGTTTTTCCCTTCCGAGCGTAGTCTGACCGCAATCGTCGATACGACTTGGTTGAGCCAATCACTTAGCGCAAAACATCTATCGTCAAGGTGCTCTTTGCTTTTGTGGATTTACCACCGCCTGCTAAACCAATGACACGCGGAAAATGGCGCAGAGATCGCGGCGTATTCAATGTGCTTGATTGGTTTAGTTAACGATAGCGAACGCACAAAGACGATGATCACCGTGACTATGCACTTTTGGCTCCTTCAATGACTTTATCGGATATGTAGAACATCCGCCGCGACGGATCTCAAAGTGACTCGGAACATACATCACGTGTAAATATATTCCAGCGAACGGTCTATTTCAATTTTGGCAGTTCAACATTTCCCACGTACAAAAAAAAAAAAAAAACAATCCTCTCTCATAGCAACTTCACATTTGTGCTTCGTCATTGTTCACTGTACCCGAAAAAAAAATCAGAATAAAAGTACCGTAAAGTGCAGTCGTCTTCCTTGTTGGTTCTAGTTGGAGCATCTTTTTAAATCCTCGTGCGAATGACTCGTCACACGGTCACGATGTAGACAAGGTTCCGTACTGGGACAACGACGCGCGCCCAGGGAAGCGTCTCGTCGATTCAACTTTCTCGTCGATGCGAAGCGAACTCGCCCGCGCGCGTCTCGGTCGTCGCATGCGAGGCGTAAAGGACGGCTTTCTCGCTCAATGGCACACCCTGAATACATCGGGGGTCGCCAGCAGCGTCAGCCGAGCGGCTCCTCCTCCGGTCTCGCGTCAAGGCTGCCGTCGCGTGCAGCTTGTAATGAATGAACCTTCTCCCCCATATGGTCCCGGACATCGTAAGAAACGCGGGGTCGGGGCCTGAGCATCTCATTATTGCTTCGAAGTCAATGAACTTTCAACAACATTTCCCCCATAAGAACAAGAAAGAATGACGCAGGGGGCGTGAACACAGTCAGCGACGCCTCGCGGTTCTTAGCCTGTTAGTGCCTATGAGGAGCGCAAGTTCGTCTGCTTTCTTGCGCGGGGGTTTCAGTGACGCCAGAACGCCGAGCTCTGATTGGCTCTGATTGGGATGATAAGGGAGGGGGGGGGGGGGGGGGGTTGACCTCATACTGGCTGCTTGCCTAACTGCCTTGAGGTCTACCCACTATCCTTCTAATTAGAACCAATCGGAGCTCGGCTTTCTGACGTCGCCGCAACCCCCGCACAAGAAGCAGAGAATCTTGCTCCACGCGTGGTCACTACAACGGCCTACGAAGCGCAGGGTGTGGCTTTATATCTTCGCGATCTTTGTTTCGTGGTTTCCTTTTTGTCGGTCGTCTTATCGGCGAATGGAGCAGACTCAATAAACGCGGGGCGATAGTAGGACGCTCGGGAGTTTCGACGCCTTCCAGTTCTTAAGCTGTCAGCAACTGTCTTTCTCTTAGCTCCGGGCTCGTGTATCATCGATAAATTCATGAATTTATGGACCCTTCTAGTGACTTTCATAACCAAAGGATGCTTTGGTAGAGGACAAAGGGTTGTAAGGGTGGTGGTGGCATTCGGGGCAGGGGTTGTTATTTAGTTGGCGATATATCATGTCCTTGTTGTTTTTCGTCGTGAAAATTACTTGATTGAGCTGGAGGCCCTTTCCATGTATAATTAGGGTTCCGTGTTTTCGGAGTTTATTTTTCGTCAAATTCGGAGCTTACCTTTTGGTGTTTACATTTTGCCGAAGGTTCGGAGTCTATCGAAGTTATTTTTTGTTTTATCCCCAATTCTCCGAAATTCGGAGTTTAATTTCTCAGTGTTTCCTGCCAAAAAGAAATACGTAAATAATAACCGCATGTAAACGTATGCCAGATAAAAAATAAAACGCGCTTGTATCAATTGAACTTTCTTTAGGTGAATGTAGCGTTGATGCCATTTCCTTTGGCAATACTAAATTGTTCCACGACAAAAGTCGCACATGAGTGTTGCTCCGATAAACGTCGATGCTTTAAAATGAACAATCTCCCGGAGGTGGTCGCTAGGAAGCTCCCATCCTATTCCATCAATCTAGCCCGCGGCCGCGCAAGGTGGAGTGGTTAAGGATGTGATAAAGAACTGCCCCTCTTACCTATTTAAACAATCTCTATGGTCCATAGCTTTCACCATTTCCAAAAAATAACCTCTTCTTTCTCTAAATCACAAATTGCATGGCCCAAAAGGGAAGCCAAAATAGTGGATTTTGTGGTGACCCAAATGTACAATGACCTTTTGCCCTGAATCAACCTTGACGAGTCAAGCTGTAAGACCCCCTTTGAGAAAGGTCCGAGATTGGAAAGTTAATCATGGTGGCATTTTCCCTGGATCACTGACCCTGCACTGCTCAATTTGTAAAAAGACGGTAAGATCTTTTTTTATCTACCGAAGATATATGATGAGCTTCACGAAGACTTACGTGGCATACAGTCTGTTCAAAAATTAAAGAAAGCTCTCACGTATGTTTGCTAAGGCCCATTTCATGACCGATAGAGAGATAATTTTTTTTCTATTATGTTTTGTGTATCCTTGCTTTATATTTGATGGCATTGTTTTTTTTTTTTTTTTTTTTTTTTTTGGAGTGACCCACCAACAGCTTAACGCCTCCTTAGTTGTGCACTTATCATTGAGTCAATTTGTAGTAAAATTTTTAATCAGGATAAAAACGAAATGTTAGGACAAACAATAGTCTCAACTCGAAATTTACGCCCTTCATGAAAAATATCAAGACTGACATTCCTCAAATCTGTGTTAAATGGTTATACGTCATGTGTGGTTTGGTTTCACATACTGTGAGCAATCATAATGAATTAACTTTTTTTTATCTAAGTGTATACGGAAACAAATTTGGTTAGCATTTGAGATTTTCTGTTTGACTTCAAAAGCACCATACTCATCAAGGTGGTGTTCATCATTCAAGCCCTAAATGTCTGTTACGAGCACGTGTCTGTACCTGGTTTGGTCCGTTCGTGCAAGAAACATTATTATTATTATTATTATTATTATTATTATTATTATTATTTCCGCCGCGCGATGGCACTCCATGCCCGCACTAGAGTTAATGTATAGGATCCCTATGGGAGCCAGAGTTGCGCGTCTGTTTTCCACGTGCCGCTACGCCGCTATTTGCCGAGATGGAACCAACGGAGGAGCAAAATCCAAGTACCGTGCAGGAAAGCCACCGATACGGGCGCTTCGCCGTCGTTGCAAGCGCCTCGGTGTTCTGCCTCCTCTTCTTTTCCTGTTTTTCAGAAAAGGAGGTGCAAGAGCTCGCCGCACGCCGCGAACGTGCGGCGCCGCTATTCGCCGAAGTCAGTCACGTGAGGAGCAGAATCCAGTGTTGTGCAGGAAAGCCGGCGGCGCTACGGAGATGAACGCGCCACTGTGGCTCCCGTAAGGAGTCTACACGGGAACTCTAGGCCACGCTAGAGTGCCCCC